GCATCTTTCAAAAAAGAACAAAAAATCCTAAAATCTCATGAGGAAAAAAATGTTTTTTTTTTTTAAAAAAATGACGGGAAAACTAATTGAATTTCGTTCCGGTTTTTTGGTTTTCTGATTTCCGGATAACGGGTTCTGTACTGTATTTTGTTATATGAAAGTTTTTAATACTGTTATCACTATTACAGTTATAGCACTGGAGATATGTCTGCTAGTCATTTATATCAATCATCCCCCACATCCAATCCTGTTGAGAGCGTACATCCTGCGCAACAACAACAATCTTATAGTCAGTACAAAAATTATGTTGATCTCTCTCTCCTTAATATGTGTGACGGAGAAAAAGTAGATCCAAAAATGCTTTTTAGGTATTCCTTTTCTATAAGTTTTTTTTTTCTTTTACTTGTTTCATTATCATTATTGTTCAGTTATATTTTTGTTTCCTCCTAATTTCAGGAGCAGTCGGGATCCTCCTGTTCATACGTACAGTTCTCCTGATCTTGCTGTTCCTCATGAAAACACCTCAAATCCTCTCCATCACTTCAAACCACCTCCACCTTATCCTTACATGCAAAGATCTAGCTGCAGTACACCTGATTTAACTAGAAATAGTGTATTTTGATTTTTATCATAATTATTATTACAATTCTTAATAAATTTTATTTCTTTACCGTTATCCGCCTCTCTGATTATCCCTAGTTAACTCGGGTATGTTTATATTGCAAATATTTAATATCCCGAGTAAACTCGAGCGCGTCAGAATTCCTGATAAAACTGTTTTGTTTTATCACGCTTTTATTCGGCCGGAAGCAAAACAACAAATAATAATAATCTGCTGTGAAGTTTGCCAATATTTGTTTGAGAGTTTTGCTATTTGCGGAGCTGCAAACGTGTTTTGTACAATTGTATATACGATGGTTGAGGAATTTACATTGAATAAAGAGTAAAAAAATGTCGTTCGTAAGTGAAAGTAATGCAGATGATTTTTCAGATGGTGAAGTTCTGACCATATACAAAGACCGATATTTAACTTTTTCCATTTGCCCGAGATAATTTGGGATAGTAAACTGATGGTGGATTAAATATTTTTTACACATATTAAAAAAAAAATTAACTTAGAACTTGTGTATTATGTTTTGTTTTAGTTCCTTGTATTTATTAATGAAATTAAAAAAAATTATCGATTTTTTGCTTTTTTTTTAACCTAACTTTTAAAACCTAACCTTTATGATACTCTGAGTGATGGTATCTCCTCTTTGCAGGTCGTTTCAACCAATCCGTCGGCAGTTCTGAACAAACCTAATTTGCCTTACAAGATTGTTTCGGTGGGATGTGCCAAAGTCGTCACCTCCAATCCGATTCAGCAGCAGACCGTAGCCTCCACTAAGTTGGTAGACTCGCAAAACAATCTCCCCACTCACTCCTACGAGAACTGCAAGGCCTCGGAAGCCGAAGGGCCGACCAGATTCGCCATCAGGAGGGACAGCAATCGACCTTCTTCCCTCAAGATGGAAGGTGGAGAGGAGGCGGACCCCCTGATGGGACCTATGCTTGTTGCAGNCTTTGAGAACACTCAGGATTCCAAATGATGCTAGGGTATGTATTTTCTTCATGATTAAGCATACTTGCCAAGTCTCCTGTTTTTTTAACGAAGACTCCTGTATTTTATGACTATCTCCTGTTTGCCCCTATATTCTCAAACTTCTCCATATTTGATGAAGAAATTTTAACAATAAAATATCTGCTGCTGGCAAAAATACTTCTCTTATTCCTCAAC